GGTCCATTTACCATTTACCAATGATAAAAAATAAAAATAAGAAATCATCCCTTGCCCTATAAGGCCATATTGTTTGTAGTTTCAGTAGTTTACTACACAAAAAATCCCAGAAAGTAATTTAAGTACTTGAAATCACTGCAAATATGAATGTAACTGAACTACCAGCAAGCTACTGCAAAATTTAGTTTAATGTACTTCATTACCATTCCTTGTTCTGCCTGTAGTGTGACGTCTGATGCTCTCACATCTTATGCATGTTTCAATTCTTTTATTTCTCTTATTCTGAGACACTATACATGAGTTTCTATGGATGCCTTGTTTCAGTGAGTCCCTTGCCAACAAATTCAGCCAGCTGTTCTGAAACAGTGTCAGAATGTGTCAAACTTGTGGCAGTGTGTGTGCTAAATGCAGGACAAAGAAGTGATGTATGGAATGTATATGTTGAAATCCAGTAGTGTTTTCTTATATTCAATGGATAGGCCCTAAATGGTTAAAAAAGTTTGATAGACATGTAGTCCATACCAACTAAAAGACACATGCAATCAGGATTCTGTGATAGTGTTTGATCAGTCTGTTAATCAGAGCAGCACATTATATTGTTGGGTGTCAATGGAAGAACTTCTGCATTTGCACGTATTTGATTGAAAAACCAATGCATGGCAGATAATGTTGTACTGAATAATGGAAAGGTTGAGCCAGGTTCCACTTTTTGTTGCTGCATGACCCTGCTTTGTCAATGCAGACGTCTCATTTCAAAGGATGGGAGATGCTCTATTTGTAATATCAGCCTGAACACACCCAAACTCAGCACATAGGAGAAAATAGCAACAGTGTTGGGTCAGTTGGTTAGGTTGAAATTACATTTGTAGAGAGGCACACAGGGACACAGCTCTGTTTTTTTCTCTTAAGCAGAACTTCCAAACATCCTGTGGCAACTACCACAGTTTCTGGGGTCCTCCCACTTTCTCTTGCTGTGATCGCATTTTAAAGCTTGCTATAATTATCATACTCTTCCCAACCCCTGTCTAACCTATGTGAATGTTCATGTTTGCTTACTATCTCTATTTTAAATGAATTTCATTGTATTATTACTGTTCTCCAGTGTTAACACATTGTTGTTTTAGCCAATATCTAGGCTGTAGCCTGAACTGAAGTAGAATTTGACTGGAACCTCTGCTGATATTCTAGGTGGTGCAGCTGCTGAAAGCAGGGAAAGGGAAGGAGGTGTCCTACAATGCTCTGGCCACTCACATAATTGCAGAGGATGGAGACAACCCCGAGGTGGGCGAGTCAAGAGAAGTTTTTGACCTGCCTGTTGTCAAGGTAACTGTTGTGCCGGAGTATGAAAGGGTGTTCTTAGTTTTTTATACAATTTCTTCCTTTTTATTTTGAATTAAAATTGCACCTGAATTCAGGACATATTTTATCATCACAAACAGCAGACTCTTAATCTTGGCTATTTAAAAGACCAGTGTGTAGGATTTAGTGGCATCTAGCAGTGAGTTTGCAGATTACAAACAACAGAATACCCCTTGCCTCACCCTCCTGTTCCAAGCATGTAGGAGAAACTACAGTGGCCGTGAAAAGCCCTGTCTACAGCCAGTGTTTGGTTTGTCCATTCTGGGCTACTGTAGAAAGATGGCGGAGTCCGTAGGAGAGGACCCGCTCCCTCTTAGGCTCATTTCTAAGGTAAAAAAAACACAACAGTTGTAATATTTCAGGTGTTTATGAAAACCTACCTATGAATATTATATTCCATTTCTGACAATAGATTCCTCCTAAATGTTTACACACTGGACCCTCTCATGTTTGGTACAGTGAATATGAAGCTACAGCCAATAGCCAGTTAGCTTAGCTGAACATATAGAGTGGAAACGGGGGCAAACTAATAAGCATATTTCCCAAGCTGCCCAACTATTCCTTTAATGTATAAAACAGAACTTTTTTTTTCTTCACATCATGTGGGAGACGATTATTTTGTTCATTTTCTTTATATATTAACCTCTGTGATTTAAAGCTACTTTGACCTAATGTAACTGAGAAAAAGGCGTGAATATTAAACATTAACTTATCGTTCTCTTAATGTTTTCCAGCCATCCTGGGTTATCCTCTCAGTCAGATGTGGAGACCTGCTACCGTATCCTTCTACCTTCAAGTCCAAAATACCTCAAATTGGTGTAATTTAAACTTTTGGGGAAAAAACTATACAATAAAATAAAATAATTGGTAATCACAGCAGAATATTAATGTTTAGAATTCCATACATTAAAAAAAAAGTGTTAGAGGATTCATTGGTCTAAAATGTTATAGAATGTATTTTGTGTTCTTCAAAATGCCACTATAAGGCATTAGCTTTTGATTTGTTTTTCCATAACCATGAATACCACAGAGTGACCGGATTCTCCCCAGAGTCAGGACAGATATTCTTTGGTGTGACCGCTTGTCTTCCCAGGGTAAGTGTGTGTGTGTGTGTGTGTGTGTGTGTGTGTGTCTGTAAGCTGTCTTTAAGAAATCCATTTTATTATTTTCAAGGTTTCTACATGTCGTATCATAGAATTTTTTGAGAGATACATGGAGCAAACAGGAGAGGTCAGTTACATTGTTTTGCAGTGAAGACATGGATTGACATACAAAGTACTTTCAATGTTGCTTTACTCTGACTTGGTCAGTTTTTACTCTCACTAGTCCATAATCTTAAACTCATTATTGTTTACATATGTCTGTGTATGCGTGTGTTTTTGCACAGCTTCCAGATGATCTTAATGGTTTGTGGGCTTACATAACATTTTATGGAGGGGAATGCCAGCTCAACCTCAACAAGAAGGTCACTCACTTGGTGGTGAAGGAGCCAAAGGGGGTAAGTGCATGCTCTGTGTGTAATCTTCACCGTTTTACTGGTTTCACTGGGCATGTTATTGCTAAGAATTTATGACATGAAATTATTGTTTTTTCAATGTTGATTTCATGTTAGCTAAGGTTTCTTTACCATATACTGAATATAAAGATGGACGGTGTATCTCCACTTCCTTGAGCTGCACAAAAATGAAGCTAAAATATCCCAGATACAGACGCTGCCATCTTGCACTGATGACATTATTGAGAGCTGGAGTCTGTGCAGTTTTGATCTGGAGCGGCAGTATTTTATAGCTTTAAATAACTAATTAAAATCAAACTGAAATTTGAACATGAACATGAACAGCATGATGAGAACTGTCTAAAATGATAGAAACGTATTTGATGTGTACTATGTCCCCTCTGCTAACCTGGAGGGGGTGGGGTTAATGACCTATATTGCAACCACCTTGCACTTTTGGGGAGTTGGGTGGTCAATCAACTTTTATTCTCAATTACAGTTTTGTTTTTTAAGAGCGATCCTTTACAGTTGTGCCTTCTTGCCCCTCCCTAAGGGAGGAAGCCCAAACGTACTCCCAGACGTTCTGTGGTATGTAGTTTCAGCTTGAGCCAAGATAACAGAAAGAGAGCCTTTGGACGTATTCACACGAAATTAGGTGTTGTGGAGAAGATGAGTGCAGAGTTGTGTGGTGGCATGTGTGTATATGTAACCACTGTTAAACAATCAGGAAATCATTTTTATTTCTCTGATTCACTAACTTTCTTGCTCCTTGCTCCCTCTCCCCCTTCACTCTACAGGTCACTTAACACTGAAGATATTACACAGCAACTTTCCATTACACCACTAACAAACACACCAATTCTCGTTCCCCAAAGTAACCACGTTAAATGATAGAATCTTGATTATAATTTTTGCCATAATGAGCAGCCCTAGGGAGCTGTCATATCTTCCATCTTTATATACTGTCAAATGTGATGTAAAAAAGTATTTCATAGAGGAACTTATGCAACAAGTGGAAATTAACACCCGATCCCTCCTCCCCCAGACCAAGTTTGAGTGTGCCCTGAAACACCCTGGAATCAAGATTGTCACTGTGGACTGGATAACAGATTCTGTTAAAGGTAATGTCAGTGCTAGTTTGCATAGTTTGACTGGACTTATTATTATAGATTTTTTGCCCAATGATATAAAAAAAGGCTTCTTACTTCAGCTGTAATGTTATTCTGTCATCATTTCTCTATTAGACTTATGTATATGAGAAAATAAAAAAATGTCTGGCAAGGAATAAAAAAATCAGGCTGCAGCTGGCATATGGATTGAAAAATTCATCCAGATGATACTGATGTAAAGGTATACTCCAGTCCACTTAGTTACACTAACAAGAGAAAGAAATATATAATAAATATAATAATATAATAAAAGTGTATATATATATTGTATAATTACGTCAAAAAATTGATTACCTAATGTTCACTGTGATCAGAGACAATCCAGTCAATTGATAACAATAATTGTGACTTGTTCCCTCTTTCCACCTTTTACAGACAAGAGCAGGAAGGATGAGGCCCTCTATCACCCCAGACTCACGTACGTGGAACCTGAGGAAGAAGAGGAAAGCGAAGCAGAGTCATATGATCAACACTCCCATTCAGATGGAAGCTACAGCCCCCGGCGATACCGGATGTCCAGTGGCGGTTCGTCTGGTGATGAGTCCAGTCCCCGCAGACGACCAGGACCCAAAAAACTGAACTCTGTCTCCCCGACCTCCCCCCGCAAACTTGAACGCCGTAGCGAGCGCATGTTCGATGACTCCGACGATGATTCCTCCACAGAGAAGGAGGGCACTAACCTCAACTGGACGCCGGCTGAAGTCGCCACACCAATGCCCCACATTCCGACGGGCACAGCTAGAAGGCGTGGCGTCCCGCCTAGCAGCAAAGACCCAGTGTCATCTACAGGCAGTGGGCTGATCAACCTGTGTGCCACTGTGCCTCCTGTACCCGGTGGTGGAGGAGCCATGCCTGCAGAGGCTCGCTCTGCTGCTGCTGCTGCCATCAGTCACACCACACAGCAAGGTCAGTATGTCATTAGAGTTGTGAGAGAACAGAATTTATCTGGCTAACGTTAGCTAACATCAGCCCTCACAGGCACTTAGTCTTAAAAATGACAAACAATGTAATATTTAAACTGAAAACAAAATACACACAGACAAGTTGAGTATCAGGTATTTTGAAAGTCTTGAAAACAGTGACTCAAGTTGACAAGTCCAGGTCACAATGACTCATGTCCACTTCTCCACTGTCAGACTATAGTCTCAGTTTTAAAGAATGTCAGCGTGTAGGGGTGCACGATAATTATCGGGCCGATAGTTATCGGAAATTATTACATCATACCGATA